GGATTAGCATGGATGGTAGCTCAGGGCTGATCTTCCTCACAAATAAATAAATAAACAAATAAATAAATAAATAATAAAGTAAAATAAATCAAAAGGGCTCAAGACATTTCCACTGATGGACTTACGATCTGCTTCTGCTTTAAAGGCTTCACGGAGAAGCTGCCATCGACGTGCTGCAGGAGAGAAAGACAGAGGTTAGCTTGGCCCCACTGGCACCGCTCAGCGCTCCCACTCAGCCAGCTGAAGGCTCTTCCTCAGCCACTCCACAACCATGGCTAAAAAAAGGAGGGACCATGCGAAGACTAAAGAGCCAGGCAGGGTTTCTAAAATGTGGCCCTCTGACCTGGGCTTGAAGCTACCTGGAAGAACCTTCTAAAAATACCACCTCCTGTGTTCTGCTCTGACCTGTAACACCCAACTCTCCCGGGCAGTTGTCAAGCACACTCAAGTTCACGACCATCAGCTAAGCCTGACGACGGACAAGAGCCTCCCAACAGCAAGCAGCAGCACCTGAACAGCAAGAACTCAGACAGACCAGCTCTAGCCCTCAAAGGGCTTGGTTAGTTGAGGAGAAACAAGGACACGCACATGCAGGCATACGCAGGGAAGCCCGCAGCTCTCAAAACCGTAAGCACACGACAGAGCCAACGCGTGCAGTGGTGTCTGGGGAGACACACTGCTCAGAGGCAACACGGTAAATTAAGGGACGAGATCTGCGACACCACCAATTAACCTTCTGAGTCAACCGAGACCAACACTCAGCATTTTCTGGTAAGGGTAATGGGTTCCTACAGAAGTTTCTAGTATGTTGCACTCCATAAATAAAGCAATTTCTCACTGGACTCTCAACTAGAAGCACAGAATGGAATATTTGCCAGCAATGGCCCATCCACCTTGGCCAGAGAAGTAGATGGGTAAATAGTGACCATCTCTTCCACAAGGCTGGGCTTGGGGAGCACAGCTGGCGGGCCCAGAGCTGGAGAGGGAAAGGCCCAATCTCTGCCTGGGGGCCCCAGTGTCACCACGGCCCCAGGAGGCCAGGGAGAGCACAGGACAAACGGGCCAGAGGGCCTCAGGTCCAGCTGTACTGACTCCCTGGGGCCTCTGGAAAGACCCAGATCACAGGAAGAAGCCAGGCTCTGCACTGAAGGCCCTTGGGGCTTCAGACACACACCAGCTGAGGAAGCCCGGGGTCAGCAGGACGCCCAGGTGTGATGGAAAGTCCAGAACAAGCAGTCTGTGCCTGGTTTCCCTGTGGGGTCCTAGATCCTCACCCACCTGGGCCACAGGCTGGTGCTGAAGACACTTTACTACTGCAGAGCCCTGACCAAGGTCAAAGAGTATTGCAGGGGGTGTCAACACAGCATCTTCAAATGGGGACCCCACTACCATACACGCTACGACCTCTGGCAGGGCTCTCAGCGAGCAGAGACTCCGTCTCAGCACAGCTGGGCACTCGCTCGCTGCATGGATGGACACACAGGACTGCCTGGTCCCCAGGTACAGCAGTGACTGGTGAGCAGACTGTCCCTAGAACCCATGACGTCCTAACACGGAGTCAGCAGTGAGGCTGACCGCCCCATCACCAAAGCCAACATCCCATGACACCCTGTAATCACGACCACAAAACACAAACAGCTGTGGGCATGGGGACTCGGGTCTGCACAGAAGAAAGGGCCAACACCTCCCTAAGTTCAAATACATGCAACACTAAAGGTAATATTAAGTGACTCCTTCCATGTAAACGGCCTCTTTATAAGTGGGGTGTCAGCTTGGGGACCCCCGGACAGCCTGGGTGTCTTTTCCCTCTGCCACCCACACAGGGTCTGGGGCCATGCTAGGCAGATGGCAGACCCTCGTTCACCCCACCAGCCTCCACTGGGTGCCTCCTGCATGCTGAGCACTGAGGAAACGACAGAGAACGGGGGGGCTCAGTTCCGCCCTCACGGACGTGTCTGCCCCACAGGTCAGGAAGGTCCCGGCAGGGAGTGACATCCATCTAGCCCCTCGGAACCAGGATGACACAGCCAGATGGAAGCAGGGCAGAACATGTGTTTGAGGACCAGACAGGACTGAGGGGTTCTGATGACACCCAGGACCCCAGGCCTGGGGGAAAAGGCCACAGCCCTGGGAGCTGGCAGCCCTGGATGATCCCTCCACATTCCAGAGGAAAGCTGGTCTGTGTCCTGGCCCCTGTGCTGGCAGGTTACAGGGAGTTCTAAAGGGCTGGGCTCCCAGAACATTCCCCTCACCAGACGCCAGATGCCCTTGGAAAGGCCTCCTGATGGTGACACTCGGCTTTGACGCCCAGCCCCCAGAGGCACCATCTCCCCGGAGCCCAGAATGACCAGCAAATCTTCCATCTGCCCTGGGCCTCTGGCACTAAGCCCACTCAGCCAAGCATGATCCCCAAGTTCAGATTTCTGGTCTCAAAACACCACCCCTCTGCCCACAGCTCCCAGGTCACAGGGATGGTAAGGGGCAGGATGGCACTTACCTTTTCAAAGGCAGCCAAGAGCACATGAGCATGGCCAGCCACTTCCACAACTGCCCGGGAGAGAGAGAGAGAGACGAGAGAGGGGTCAGAGCTGGCCTCAGCCCCTCCTCTGCCCCCCACCCCGGCTTCTCTTCCTCCTTCCTCTCAGCTGGCTCCTTCCCAGAGACCAGAACCCACTGGAGGACTCATCCTCATCTTGCCCTCCTCTGCCTGGGGGGCCCAAGGCTGGCCCTGCCCCTGCTGTCTCACTCTGCACACGGAGGGATGTTTCAGCAGGGCTTAGGAGCCAGGACTCAGCCAGTGGGCCTGGGGACAAGCCTAGCCCTGGCAGGGCTCCAGCATTCACACCCTAGGCTGGGGGGCCTACAGCCCACAGCAGTGGCAAGGGAGAGACCCTCGAGACTGGCAGGAGGAGGAAGGGCCAGTTAGGAAGTCGATGTGGCCTGATAAGCTGACAGTGAGCAGCACAGAGCCCATCCTGCTCCATGCTGTTCTCTGCTGCCGTCACCATCCCACTGCAGGGTAGACACCAGAATCGGAGGCCTGTCCAGCCACTGTTCCGCAGTGAAAGCCAGGCTCTGCCACAGGGACTTGCCACCGGCGGAGGGGGACAGGCTGCCGGGAGAAGGAGCTGGAGAGACGGCCCTGATGCCCCAGGTTGGGGAGGCGCCAGGAGCAGCATCACCCCAGAAAGAGATGGAGAGCTCGGTGCTTGAGTCCCACAGCCCTAAACCTGCTAAGTAGGCTGAGCCAACACCCTTCATCACTTCTGGAATGAACTCCACCCTGCTGACTGAAGTGAGAAAGGCCTCAAGAAGCGGCTTCTGCCCCGCAGGGTCACACGCCTAGAAGGGAGAGTGGAAGAGGAGAGGCTGCTCACCGTCTCCTTCATCCACCACGGCCTGGATGACCACTGGAAACACGCCCCGGTCCAGGTCAAAGTTCAACTGAGGAGAAAAGGAGGCGAGACCAGTCAGACTGAGCTGGAGGGAGAAGGCACGGGGAACAGGATGGCGTCACGGCAGAGCTCGAGAGAACAGACAAAATGGCGAGGGAAGACCCACCTGGCTAGCATGGCAAAATAGATAAAAACAATTAAAATGGCCAATTTGTCCAACATCACCCTGATCCCAAAGCCAGGGAGGGACAACACAAAGAAGGAAAACTATAGGCCAATATCCCTGATGAACACAGATGCAAAAATCCTCAACAAAATATTGGCAAACCGAATACAGCAATACATTAAAAGGATCACACACCATGATCAAGTAGGATTTATACCAGGGACACAGGGATGGTTCAACATCTGCAAATCAATCAATGTGATATACCACATCAACAAAATGAGAAATAAAAACCACGTGATCATCTCAATAGATGCAGAGAGAGCAGTTGACAAGATCCAACAGTCATTTATGATAAAAACTCTCAACATGGGTATAGAAGGAAAGTACCTCAACATAGTAAAGGCCATATATGACAAACCCACAGCCAACATCATACTCAACGGGGAAAAAACTAAAAGCCATCCCTCTGAGATCAGGAACAAGACAAGGGTGCCCACTCTCGCCACTCTTATTCAACATAGCACTGGAGGTTTTGGCCAGAGCAATTAGGCAAGAAAAAGAAATGAAAGGTAAGCAAATCGGCAAGGAGGAAGTGAAACTCTGACTGTTCGCAGATGATATGATTTTATATATAGAAAACCCTAAAGACTCCACTGGAAAACTATTAGAAATACTCAACAATTACAGCAAAGTTGCAGGGTACGAAATCAACTTACAAAAATCATTTGCATTTCTATACTCTCATAACGAACTAACAGAAAGAGAACTCAAGAATATAATCCCATTTACAATCGCAACAAAAAGAATAAAATATCTAGGAATAAATTTAACCAAGGAGGTGAAAGACCTATACAATAAAAACTATAAGACATTATGGAAAGAAATTGATGATGACATAAAGAAATGGAAAGATATTCCATGCGCATGGATTGGAATAATAAACATAGTTAAAATGCCCATATTACCTTAAACAATCTACAGATTCATTGCAATCCCAATCAGAATCCCAATGACATTCTTCATGGAAATAGAACAAAGAATCCTAAAATTCATATGGGGCAACAAAAGACCCTGAATAACTAAAGCAATCCTGAAGAAAAAGAACAAAGCCAGAGGCATCACAATCTCTGACTTCAAAATATACTACAAAGCTATAGTAATCAAAATAGCATGGTACTGGTACAAAAACAGACACACAGATCAATGGAACAGAATTGAAAGCCCAGAAATAAAACCACACATCTACGGACAGCTAATCTTCGACAAAGGAGCCAAGAACATACAATGGAGAAAGGAAAGTCTCTTCAATAAATGGTGCTGGGAAAACTGGACAGCCACATGCAAAAGAATGAAAGTAGACCATTATCTTACACTATACATAAAAATTAACTCAAAATGGATTAAAGATCTGAAGGTAAGACCTGAAACCATAGAACTCCTAGAAGAAAATACGGGCAGTACACTCTTTGACGCTGGTCTTAGAAGAATCTTTTCGAATACCATGTCTACTCGGGCAAGGGAAACAAAAGAAAAAATAAACAACGGAACTTCATCAGACTAAAGAACTTCTGCAAGGCAAAGGAAATTATGAACAAAACGAAAAGACAACCCACCAACTGGGAGAAAATATTTGCAATCATATATCCGACAAGGGGTTAATCTCCAAAATATATAAAGAACTCAAACAACTCAACAACAAAAAAACAAACAACCTGATCAAAAAATGGGCAGAGAATATGAACAGACATTTTTCCAAAGAAGATATATGGATGGCCAACGGGCACCTGAAAAGATGTTCAGCATTACTAATCATCAGGGAAATGCAAATCAAAACTACAATGAGATATCACCTTACACCTATTACAATGGTTATAATTACCAGGGCAAGAAACAACAAATGTTGGAAAGGAGGTGGAGAAAAGGGAACCCTCATACACTGCTGGTGGGAATGCAAACTAGTACAGCCACTATGGAAAACAATATGGAGATTTCTCAAAAAATTAAAAATTGAAATATCATATGACCCAGGTATTCCACCACTGGGTATTCATCCAAAGAACATGAAATCAACAATTCAAAGAGACTTATGCACCCCTATGTTCACTGCAGCATTATTCACAATAGCCAAGACGTGGAAGTAACCTAAGTGTCCATCAACTGATGAATGTGTGTATATATATATATATGTATATATATATACACACACACACACACACATACACACAATGGAATGCTACTCAGCCATAAAAAGAGACAAAATCGTCCCATTTGCAACAAAATGGATGGAACCTGAGGATATTACGTTAAGTGAGATAAGCCAGACAGAGAAAGACAAACACCGTTTGATTTCACTCATATGTGGAAGAGAAACAAACACATGGACAAAGAGAACAGATTAGTGGTTACCAGAGGGGAAGGGGGCTGGGGGGTGGGCATAAGGGGTAAAGGGGCACATATATATGGTGAGTGACCAATAATAACGTACAACTGAAATTTCACAATGTTATAAACTATTATGACATCAATTTAAAAAAATGGCCAATTTGTGTTCTAAGTGTGTAATTCAGGGGCATTAAGTACATTCATAAGGTCATGCACTCATCCCCACCATCCATTTCCAGAACATTTTCATCATCCCAAACAGGAACTCTGTCCCCATTAAGCAATCACTCCCCACCCCCCTCCCTCAGCCCCTGGTAACCTCCACTCTACTTCCTGTCTATGGACTTGCCAATTTAGACGTTTCCTAGAAATGGAATCATACAACATCTATCTTTTGTGACTGGCTTCGTTCACTCAGCATCATGTTTCGAGGTTCACTCATGTTGCAGCACATGTCAGTGCTTCATTCCTTTTCACGGCTGAATAATATTCCACGGTATGCCCAGACCACACTGTTTATCATTCACCTGTTGACAGACACCGGGCTGCTCCCCACTTTGGCTGTCATGACTGATGCTGCTGTGAACACTGCTGAACAAGCATCTGTTTGGCCCCGTTTTCAGTTCTCCCGGGTAGACAGTGACGTGCATGATCCCTCAGTGGGTCCCACGGTAACTCTGTGATGGACCTTGTGAAGAAGGTGCCTAGTGTGGCCCCAACCAGAGGTGGAAGGAAAGGGAAGGGGACCACACGGCACATCTGAGCTCAAGGAGAAACTCCTTTCATTTTTCGTTCTCCTCCAGCTTAAATCCCTCCATGGCTCCCAGCTGCGCTCCAGCTGAAGGCCACTCTCCCCTCCCAACATGTCCGCTTGGGGGTAGTCTCCACACCCGCTCACCAGTGGGGGCCAGGGGTCAAGTCACACAGAGCCTATGGGACAGAGGCAACCAGCCAAGGACACCCGCAGTGGGGGCAGCACAGGAGAGGCCTGGAAGCTGCGTGTGGGTCCCAGGCTGTCAGTGGGAGGCAGGACTGGGAGGGAGAAGGGCCAGGTAGTGGGACAGGGTCAGACTCAGGACTGCCAGGTTCAAGTCCGGCTTCACAACCTGAGCCTCAGTTTCCCCATTTGTAAAAAAGGGATAAAAGCTATGCCAGTTGCAAAGGCTCTGAGCGTGGTGCCCAGGAGAGCAGGCGTGAGCACCAGCCATTCGAAGCTCTGCATGATCAGGCAGCGGGAGCCAAGGAGAGCGGTGGTGGAGGAGGGCCTCACAAGACGATGCTGGGCAGGCACTCCAGGGAACGCAGGACTTGGTGGGGACGTGCGCACATCACTGGCATGCGGGGAGGAGGGGGACATGTCCAGGCTGTCCCAGGACCCAGCCAGGCCTCACGCTCCCTGCGGCCTCAGGGTGGAAGCACAGCACCCCAGAAACCTGGACTTCCAAGAGGGAGGGACCCCCTTTCCACGCTCCTGCCCTGCTCTAGGGTGACCCCCGGGGGGGTGTGGGGAGGTGATCACCCGAAACAGGAGTTACATATCATCCGCAGCCATCTGGGGGCCCCTGTGCAAGCCCATTTCTGCCCTCCCCACCCTGAGCCAGGGCACAGGAAGCGATCTTGCTCACCCTGGTGACGCAGATGACACTGGGTGTGACGCTGGGTGTGACGACGAGGAGCTGCCCTTCAGAGGGCTGTAATTAGGCCCAGGAGGGGGGCTGTTCAGGCGACAGAGCCAGGTCGGGGCAGAGCTTTGTGCAGCAGCCCATGCCGCCCCTGCACTTCTGGCCGGCTGCTGGCACATCACCCTCGGCGTGCCGTGGGCGGCTGGTGCGGTGAGGAGCTGCGAGGTGATCTGCATTTTCTTTCTCCTTCCACACTAAGCCGAGTGCTGCCTCAGCAGCAGCTGACAGTCGTGTTTCGCTGGCGCTGGAATAACAGCCAACAGTCTGGGGAGGTGTGTGCGGTGGCCACACCAACAGGTGGTGACCGGGGCCCTTCTCTACTCCTGTCCCCTGGCAGACGGGGCTCACAATGGACAGCCGGTGCTAAGTGAGCCCTCCACACACAGACGTCCTTGGGAAGTCCGGGAACAACCTCTCTCCTACCCTGGGCCTGTGTGGTCTGGCCAGAGGACAGCATGAGCCTGCTTTGAGCGGGGGCCCCAGAGGGAGGGCACACAGCCTAGGACGGTCCAACCGAGCACTCTGGGACCCAGGTCGGGACTGTGTCACTCCACTGACCTGCACAGCACCAGCCCGAGGGAGGCCGGCTCAGGTGGAGCAGAGTCCTGATAACATAGGCCCCTGGAAGAAACCGCGAGCCACCCAGCTTTTTCAGAATCTATGCCAATAAATTCCTAGTTTTCTTTTCCTAAGCCAGATTGAGGTGTGTTTCTGTCGCTTGCAACCAAAAAAGTGCGGACACAGACACTGCTACAAAGGCTCTCCTGCAGCAGCCCTGCCAGCGCCTCCCACTAACATTGTCAGCAGAGGCCAGCACAGCACGCCAGACATGGCACTCACTCACCTGACTAAGCAAGCCCTGAAGAAGGACTTACACAGGCCAGCCCAGTGCTGGGCCAGGGCACGGAGATGGAGACGATGGGGGCACCATGACTCCAGCTCTCCCCGGGCACCAGGGCCCAGGCGCTGTGCCACCCTCGGATGCCCGGCCACAACAAGCCTCCACACACGGGGCTGCCACCTCACACCTGCCTTCTGGTTACCTGCCTGTGCATCTGTAGTTGGCCCCCCATCCTGGTGACATCACACAGGAGGGCGAGACTCCCCAGAGGCTCATGGAGTGTGGGGACCCAGGGAGCAAGGACCATCTCCCCTGAAACACCTTCTCCCCAGAGCTTGACACACAAGTCACACACCAGAGCAAGGCACACCGGGAGAGAACGGAGACTGCCGCCCACCCCAGAGACTGAGGGGGATGTTGATTGTTAACGCAGGAAGAGAGGCTTTCTTAGGGAAGAGGACCGCCCAGGTCAGGAGGAAGCCGGGCAGCTGACGCCAGCACGAGTCACGGCCCGGCTCCCCGGCTCCCCAACACGGCCTGGTGGGAGCCTTGCATGCAGCACCCTTGGGAGGAGCCTGCCTGACAAGGGTCTTTGCAAGCCCCTGGCCAGATGGACACTGGAAAATAGGGAAAAGGCAAAGGACGGAAGAGAGGGATGTGGCTTTGACAGAAAAAAATAGAAGCCCACAAGGGGGCTAGTAGGGAAAACCAGCAAAGCAGCCACTCCAGCCATGAGGGGATCTGCACGTGCTGACCTGGAAACGTCCACGTGCAATTCAGCCAAAATAAAGGTAGGCACATGCCAGGCAGGGGGTATATGGGAAATCTCTGTACCTTCCTCTTAATGTTGCTGTGAACCTAAAACTACTCCAAACAAATAAAGGTTTAAAAAAATAAAATTAATTTAAATTAAAAAGCAAATTGCAGCCAAAAGAAATGAAAACATACATCCACACAAAAACTTATACACAACTGTTCACAGCAGCATTATTCACAATAGTGAACAAGTGGAAACAACCCAAATGTCCATCAACTAATGAACAGATAAACAAAATGTGGTCCATCCACAGTGGAATATTATTCAGCCCTAAGAAGGAATGAAGCACTGACACACGCTACAATGTGGACGAGCCTTGAAGACATGATGCTCAGTGAAAGAAGCCAGACACAAAAGGCCACATAGTGTATGACTCTGTTTATACGAAATGTCCACAACAGGCACATCCGTGGAGACAGAAAGTAGATAAGTGGATGCCAGGGGCTGGAGGCGGGGGCGACAGGAGCGACTGTTCATGGGTACAGAGTTCCTTTTGGGGATGATGAAAATGTTCTGGAATTAGAGTGGTGATGATTGCACAACTCTGTGAATATAGTAAATACAACCAAATTGTACACTTTAAACGGTTGAATTGGGGGCTGGCCCGGTGGCACAAGCAGTTAAGTGCGCATGCTCCACTTCGGCGGTCCGGGGTTTGCAGGTTCGGATCCTGGGTGTGCACCGACGCACCGCTTGTCACGCCACGCTGTGGCAGCATCCCATATAAAGTAGAGGAAGATGGGCACAGATGTTAGCTCAGGGCCAATCTTCCTCGGCAAAAAAGAGGAGGATTGGCATCAAATGTTAGCTCATGGCTGATCTTCCTCACAAAATAGAAAAAAAAAAGGATGAATTGTTTGTATGTGAATTATATCTCAGTAAGCTGTTTAAGAAAAACAAACTACAGAATGATATTTGTATAATATGGCTGCATTTTTACAAAAAACAAATGCACACAAGAAAAAAGTCTGGAGCACACACCCCAAATGGTCAGAAGTGGTCACCCCTGGAGAAGGAGACTCAACTGTCGGGGAACATTCTGCTATACAAATTCTGTATAATTTGCACATTTTACAATAAGCATATATTACTGTTATAATCTTTAAATAGGCAAATCTGGGGAAAATAGCTAAAAAAAGGATGGCTAAGCCTCCGATGGCACAATGCTTGTCGCTGAGGGGACACCTGGCCATGTGGAGACATCTTTGGTCGTCACAACGGCAGCAAGGGGACGTTCCTGACGCAGAGGCCAGGGACACTGCTCAGCATCCCAGGGAACACAGGACGGCCCCACCACGAAGAGCACCCAGGCCCCAAGCGTCAACAGCACCAAGGCTGAGCACCCTAGTATGAAGGAGCAATCTGAGTTTGGGACCCGAGTGTTTGTCACGTCTCTCACACCTGCCAACACCCTCTTCCACGCCTTCAGCAGGCAACGCCACGATGCTAGGACGTAAGACATAGTAACACCATTTTGTTCTCCATACAGCTTAACTTCCGGAACCTTCTATTTATGGCAAGGCCTGGCAGTTTCCCAGCTACAGTAATGACTGATAAAGTTTCCATTTAAAAATACATGTAAAAGAGGGGTGAATGGGAGTGATTGCTTAATGGGTGCAGGGTTTCTTTCCAGGGTGATGAAAATGTTCTGGAACTGCAGAGTGGAGCACTTCACTGTAAATGTACCTCACGCCACCCACAGTAAATTTTATGTTATGTGTATTCTATTGCAATAAAAAATTATATAAAAGAAAAACTGTGAGTTGATTTTGAGAGGAACACATTAGCTGAGGTGATAATCAGAGAAGGCAAAGATGAGGATGGGGTCCTGGGGTAACTCAACACTGGACAGGCCCGGTGCAGCCGCCACCACGCCTGCCGCACCTACCCACACCACACGCTGACAAGTCAGGGATGTGGGTTCCCTGACGCTCTGAGGGAGGAAAGGGGGCGCTTTTATGTGGCACTCGAGACTGGCACCAGCCAGGTGTGCCCCCAGGACAAGTGACCTCACTGGGAGTCTAGAACCCAAACCAGTGGCCCGACTCAGCACATCTGCAAACGCACAGGGGATCTGGTTTGGGGCCAAAATGCCAAGGGACTGGACTCTGACAGAGGTCACCAAACTGAGGAGCAGCCTCAGCCCAGCCCACCCACAAGTCACCACAGGCGGGAGCACCTGCGTGTCCGCCCAGCCCCTTTGTGCCCTCCCAGGCCCCTTTTCCTTTGGGGAGCCGCCTTCTCCCATTCACAGCAGGGTGGGCAGGACCAGACGCACCTGCTGGGTACTGGAACTGGAGTGTGTACACAGAGGGACGGAACTAGGGACCAGCCGTCCAGCTCTTCCTTTGGCTTCAACTGTGCCGTCCTTCCTTCAGAAGACCCATCTTTCTCAAGTAAGTGATGCACAGGCAGCTTCTGTTGCTGGCCATCAAAGCACCCTGACTAGCAAGCACACACAGCCAAAAGCAAACTGTCTATACCCCATAATCCAGAACCTTCCTGGCCGATTCCTACACCACACCATGCCTTGCTACTCCATTCCTTCCCCCTTTATGTATTTTAGTAACATAATGCATGTTGCCTTCTATTAAAAAAACTAGAGAACTCAGATGAGTGAAAGAAGTCAGACACAAAGGCCACATATTGCATGATTCCATTTATATGAAATGTCCAGAATACACAAATCCATAGAGATAGACAGCAGACGAGTGGCTGCCAGGGGTGGGGGGTATGAAAAGGAATTAACTGTATATGGGCACAAGGGATCCTTTTGGGAAGATGGAAATGTTCTAAAACTGGATTGTGGTGGTGGCTGTGATCACAGATTTACTAAAAATCACTGAACATTTAAAATGGGTGAGTTTTATGGTATGTAAATTATAACTTAATAAGCTGGTAAAAAAAAAAAAGAAAATGAAACAAAATAATTCAGAACTGTAGACAGTATCGACACTCACACTGCATATGGGTAGTGTGTGTGTTATATAGCTCCCTTCCTTACACCAAGACCCTCTGCAGAAATAACCACTGTCTTTAGCTTGATGGGGACCTTTTCCAGTTTTTCCTCTAGGATTATATACACATACATGTACCTGAAGAAATAATTTTGTGCATTTTTGCAGTTGTCACATAGATGTATACTGTGTTAGTTTGCAACTTATTCTTCTCTGAGCCCAGCAGGGGTTCTCCACACCAGTATGTATGGTATACACAGGTCTCTTGCATCTGCTGTAAGGCTGCATGGCATCCCATAATAGAAGTGAACTGTGGTACCCATATTACATATATAGATGGTTCCTCTAACATCAGTGAACTAAGCAATCCCCTCATGATGAACATGTAGGCTGTTTCCAGTTTTTACTATCACAGACATAACTGCAGTGAACATCCCTCCTGTCATGTAAATTACCACCCCCAGCTGTGGAATCTCTGGGTGGAAGGGATCCCGCCACCCTGCCGTCCTTTGGCCCTGAAAACCACCCCAAAGCCTGGTACCAGGGCCTCTAACTGCTGCTGCTCCCTCCGGCCTCGATCATCCAGACTAGCCAACATTAGGACCGAACCACACTCCACGGTCCAAGGCACACCCGACCGAGCACACAGACCTTGGTCAGCAGCCACTCCTGATGTTTAGCAACCATGCAAGGAATCTGAGCAAACAGGCCTCACAGGGCCTGCCGCCCCCACAAAGGGGAGGGATTCAGGAAAGGGGCCAGGGGAGAGGGGTGCCCAGCCAGGAGGTTACCTCATCGTCCTTCCACTCTGAGAAGTCGATCTTGAAGGAAGGCAGGGAGAACTGCTGGCTCACACCTCTCTTATAGTGGACGGTCTCAGACTGCAGGGCAGGGTTCTTGGGGCTGTACCTGAAGGGGCAGCCAAGAAAAAGGACATGAGACTCTGCCTCGAGCAAACGCTCTGCTGCGCCCTGTCCTCAGGGCGACCCTCGCTGGTGCAGGACCTCTGACACAGAGGCCAGCAGCCACTGGTCTTTTGGGGACCTAGTAGAAACCGAACTTGCAGGTCCCAGCCTTCTCTGGTGGGGCAGGAAGCCGGCCTACATGGCACGTGGCCCTCGCCCTCCCGCAGGCCTCACTCTGCTCACCACCAGCTCTGCCCGAGTCGGGCCTGGTTACAAGGCTTCCGAGCCCACCCTACCCAACAACTCTGCTCCCTTTCCAGATGTGGCTATGCCTTTCCATTTGGTTTTTACAGTTTGCTGACTTTTTTGAACGAACGTGGTACAAAAATGCACAGGGTGCAAAGTGCCGTGCGCCCCACCCCCACCCACGCTTGAGCCCAGCCACCTGCTTCTCTGCCCCATCCTCGACCCATGTGTCACTCCCGGGCAGTCAAGGCATATTCACGCCTATACGCACAGTGTCTCTTCTTTACTGTTCCAACAGCAGCCCACCAACACTGCTCCTTCACTGCTCATGCACCCCAAAGCTGTCCCAGAATCATCACATACAGAGGTGTCGTGTTCTCTGAACACCGCCTGGGCTCCACTGCGGTTTCACTCTAACTGATTCAACCAGGTCCACTGGGGGACACCAGGTGGTCTCCAATACCTTGCTATTCCAAACAATGCTTCCAGGACCCACTTCTGCACACATCTTAGACACATGTGCAAGCACATCCCCAAGATAAATTCCCAGAAAAGGAATGGCTGGGTCAAAGAGTACATGCATTTTCAACTCTGATAAACTCCAGCATCTCCGCATTCAGGAATCCAACACGCAATCCTCTGCCCCACTCACACCTGCTGTATCCGGGGCCTCTCTCAGTCTCTAGGACGAAGGACAGTCTCAAGGGCGTGGGCACATCTGGCTGAGAGACTGGCACTGCAGGAGGGGGTTGCTCTTGTGCACACAGAGACTTAAAGCCCGAGTTCAACTACCGCTCCATCCCCAGATCAAACCTGGCCTCCAAGTGGTTTTCTCCTACAGAACAGAAGCCCGTCCTGTCCCGTCCCGTCCGGGTCTGGCCTTGGAGACTGGAGGCAGCCCTGCCATGGTCGCACTGAAGTTGCAGATTTCAAACTTTTTGGGCTAGCAGGACCCTTATTTCAAATAAACTCTCTGAAAGCTCAGATACATAATACAGACAGAAGCAGAGCTGCTGGGGCCAGTCCCCCCGAGCCCTGGCCCGCCGGGTGCCTCTGGGACTCACGTGGCCGTCCCATTCAGGAACTCCTCCACCGCCTGACAGTAGATGGTGATGGCCACCCGGGCGTCGGCATCAAAGGTGAACTCCAGGCTGTAGAGGACACGGGGCTTCTCGCCATCCTCCGTGGGGCTGTCGGCACCATCTTTGTACCTGCCAGGGAGGCAGAGGAACAGGCAGAAAAGTCAGGGGCCATGCCTGCAAGAGCGTCCCCACCCCACACAGCACATACCACCCCGAGGGGCCCCCGGAGCCAGGTGCCTGGCCACATCCCATCTTTCTAGAAACGTGGAGGCTGTTCCCCATTTGGACAATAAGGCCCAACAATACAGGGCTCTCCTTCTCCTGCCCACAGAAAGGGAGACGAGCCCTCTTGGTTTAGAGATGGCCCCAGTGCCTCAAGTCTTCCAGGTTTAAAGCAATTTCTCGGCCCTGATGTTCAGGGGCTGTGGGGCCGTCCATGCACTGCAGGGTGTTGAGCAGCATCCCTGGTCTCTGCCCACCAGATGCCAGTAGCACCTCCCCCACAGTTGTGATGACCAAAAATGTCCCTGGACACGGCCCAATGTCCCTGGGGCACAGTGGCCTGACTGAGAAACCCTGGTCTAAAGCTCGGTTCCATGGGCCGGCCCCGTGGCTTAGCGGTTAAGTGCGCATGCTCCGCTACTGGTGGCCCGGGTTCGGATCCCAGGCGCGCACCGATGCACCACTTCTCCGGCCATGTTGAGGCCACGTCCCACATACAGCAACTAGAAGGATGTGCAACCGTGACATACAACTATATACTGGGGCTCTGGGGGGGG